GAGAATCAAATGGAAGGAACATGGAAAATGACATGGAAACCACTATGTTTTTCAGGGATTAATGCAACGGGCCCAGATCATCAATCCCTTGATGCTAATGCTTTATCAAACACCTCCACCACCACTAGTATTAGTGTGTGTCGGGGGAGGGGGGTGATTGTGATGACATGTGAAATGAATTTGCAGTTTAAATGTAGATGGAGATTGGGTGGTTTGGGATGTATAGGGGGGATTGACGCATGATGGCCCCAGGTTCGTGATATATTTGTTCCTAGGGCTTAGGGTGTAGCAGGCTTCTACAGTACTCTACGGTCCTTTTGCATGACCTACATCCATATAGTTTCGGGTTTGAGAGCCTACACTACCGGACAGGGGAGTTGGTAGCATTCGGTACTAAACAGATCGTAAAAGGTACATGCCTAGTGGCCCATGGGGTGACAACTAGGATAACTGTAGCTGCAGATTGCTGGATTCTTAGGGTTTAGGGATTTGGGGGTTTAGGGGTTTAGGGTTTAGGGGTTTAGGGGTTTAGGGTTTAGGGTGTCACCTCCAACAAACTTTCAGCTGAAGTAGCATGATTGGTTGCGCGGGTGATTGCAGCAATTGGTCTCTTCTGGTTTGCTGTGAAGGAACTTGACTCGGTAACCCAGTGTAGGAAAGCCACAATATTTATTGCATATCCATATCATGGTGACTTAGCTGAAGTTTCCTGCGACTTTCAGTCCGCACCCTTAAAGTTTGTAACCTTGGTTTTTCGGTACCAAACATTTTAATTAAGGGCTATATTGCATGACTTAGGGATCCAAATCCAACGGTACAAAGCTAAAGCCCCGGATCAACAGCAGCCCAGTCCCTAAACCCTAAACCGTAAACCGCGTCCAAAAGGCGGGGGCTGCGCGAGATGTTCGTGGATGGAGTGACTGGGTTGCTGTTCAGGAACTTATACCCTTTATGGTAACTTGTAAGGAACTTAACTATAATGGAGAATCAAATGGAAAAGAAAATGGAAAATGAAATGGATACTGAGGGAATATAGGGATTTAGGGAACTTAATTCAAATTACTATATTGGGGAAACCCTATTATTTACTATATATACCCATGATGGTAACTTAATTTAAATTCCTTAACAGCAACCCAGGTGAGGAGGTGTCGGAGGAAGCATATTTGGCGAGCATGCCTCACGCATCACAAGCTTCTGAGCAATGCCTTCAGCAACATTTTGAGATGCTATATGTACTATAGTCTAAACTCCCTAAAGGGGGGATATATAGGGGAATATATAGGGGAGTATTATGGGGGATATTAAGGGGGATACTAGGAGTTTAGACTATAGCTCATTTTGAGATGCTGTACGGCAGTTACATGTCATACAACTGTGTGTCAGTCATGCTGTAAGTATCTAGGGGTCATAAGGGATCTTCTTTCGGGTCCAGGGCAAGTGGTAGTTGCCATAAATAGGGGGACCCCAATCTAGACCCAAAGTACTATAATGCTTATTATGGCGACTCCCAAAGAGGGATCCCTAATTTCGGGAAACCCGCACGTGTTGCCCCAGACTGCCGTGAAGTCAGGATCTGTTTTCTTTCCGACGACTCGCAGACCTTCACCTTTAGCGCACCTGAGCCTGGGTTGCTGTTAAGGAGCTTGTGACCCAGACCCCTGGCAGGATCTAAAGATTAGATCCCCTATATGGACCTCTTATAACCCCTACATAGTCCTTAATTATATAGTTCCCCCTATGGTTCTAGGGGATCTAATTTTTAGATCCTTTTTGGGGGGTCTGGGAAGGGGGCCCTGTGTGGTGTGTGGTGTGGGGGTTGTGTGGGGATGGTGGAGGGCGATGGGGGGGCTGCTGCGGTGGGTTGTATGGGGTTTAGGGTGTAGGGCCCCTTAAGTGGATAGAATATGGGGTAGATGGGGATCTGCTGAAATACCAAAGCTATATTCTATCTACTTAAGGGGGACCATAAGTTACTATAGTAAGGAAACCTTATCTTTTGCGATATACCCATATTCTGGTAACTTACCCTAAACCCTAAACCCAGGAGCGTGCTGCCATGTTGCATGCGAGTCTTTGGGTGAACGCCGTCTGGTTGTCCTTGGTCCTAGGTGCCTGAGCTGAGAGAGAGGATCCTCAGGGTTTTAGGGTTTAGGGTTTTAGGGTTTAGGGTTTTTGGGGGTTTAGGGTTTTTGGGGGTTTAGGGTTTTTAGGGGTTTAGGGTTTTGAGGGTTTAGGGTTTTAGGGTTTAGGGTTTTAGGTTCAGGAGTTTGGGGTTTGGGATTGCAGGTGAAGGGTAGTTCTAGGGCCCCATGGATATGACGAAGGGTTCAGGAGTTGGACTTACGGGTTAAGGGTTCTCCCAACAACTACGGTGTCCCGTTTTGGGGGTTCTTATTCTACGGATCATGGTGCGTTGGGTTCTATACAGGGGTCCCTATGTTTCTAAGCCCCATGTATTAAGCGCTTGCAGCACGTGAGTGGGTGTGGGGCACTGTATAAGCATGAATGATTACCCGTATGATTCCCTCATAACCCTTATAACCTTTAGATAGCTATCTATAGAAGTTGTAGCACATAATCAGAGTATGGCATATAAATATAGTCGAATAAGATAAAGATTCTCGTATCATGTACCCAAGTCCTTACTCTTCTTATTTGGGAGCTTCCTTACTTGGAGGTTCCCTACTTGTCATCTAGGTAACCCTTATAAGGCCTTCCAGGGGGGATTATAAGTAGGGTTACAAGCCCAGTTAGAAGTAGTCACTAAGTCCCATGAACCCTAAACCGTAAACCATATATCCCCGCAGGCCCCCTTTGAAGGAAGCCAGCTATGAGTAGAAAACACTCTAAACCCTGAACCCTGAACCCCTAAACCCTAAATCCTAAATCCTAAACTCTAACCCCTAAACCCTAATTCCTAAACCCTAAGCCCTACACCCTAAACCCTGAAAACAGGTGGCCTCGAGCACCGGCGGCCCTTTCAGGATACTGCCTGCCCTGGTGCCAGCGCTGAGCTACCTTGCTGTTTAGGGTGTAGGGGCTTAGGGTTTAGGGGTTTAGGGTTTAGGGGTTTAGGGTTTAGGGGTTTAGGGTTTAGGGTTTACGTAGGGGTTTAGGTTTTAGGGTTTAGGGATGGTAACCCCCAAAAGCCCCTAAAGACCCCACCTTACCAGCCCCTGCAGAGGAAAACGTTTCCTGGATGTTGATAGAGTCCGTTTCGAGGTACGCTGCGCAAATCAGCCAGTGAGGGGCGCAGAGTTAAGCATACCGGCAACTACCGCCACGGGGCCGTGAATGCAACCCAGCGCAACAGCAACAGCAGCCCATATCCCCACAAAGGATCTAAAACGTAGATCCCCTAGGTTACTATGGGAATGTCGTCGGGATCATGTAAGGGTTCTTCCCATCAGCTTCTGCAACGGAGTACCTTTTGGGATCCTCGCAGGGAGGAGGATGCTCAACTTTTGTTCATTCTGCGGCACTCACTACTTTAACTATGTGTGTTGGCCACGCAAGGGGGTTTTTCTAGCTTTCAGGGAACTGGCCTTGTATGAGGTACGGCTTATCTTGCGGGACTGCATGTGCGTTTCTTTTCAGATTGTCGTTCAACGCTCCATAGCCACAACAAAAAGGGGTTTCCTCCTTAAATAGTGACTAATTAGTGCAGACTGCGATCCATGTAAGGCTGCGTATACCTGAAATGCTCTCTCGTAAGGTTTCGAGCACTTTGCAAAGTTGCTGAAGCTCGTCGGCTACCCGAAGGACCCGAAGGCCAAGCAGGCTGGATGGAAGATCGATGTTTGATTTAGAGTTTAGGGTTTAGGGTGGTTTAGGGTTTAGGGTTCCCCCTGATGCTGGGTCCATTACGTTCCTACACCATTGAAACATTTGAAGCCCAATTATCATGAGCTCCCCGGCCGCGCGCTGTGAGACAGAACGGTCTGAGTCAGTCAACTCACGTGATGAGGCCTGGCAGGGGTATTCGCAACCCTACTTTTAAAAGTGCGTCAGTTCTTTAGATAGACTATTTGGTAGCAAAGCTGGACTCTTCTGATTCTTCAGTCCCCTATAGCAACTACTTGCAACACTTCCATTTGACTTGCTTGACCAACAGCTCAGGAAAGCAAGGTCAAAGCACCACCCCTGACTTCAAGCCTTACAAATCTGAACCCCAAACTCAAAACGCTCTCTGACTTACCCTATAGGGTTTAGGGTATTATCTTGGGGAAACCCTATTATTTACTATATATACCCATTATGACTTGAAGTAAAGATACGGCACAGACGCCTTGGCATGATCTTGCGGTTGGTAGGAGGAAATCAAGGCTTGGGTCATAGGGTTCAAGGGTTTAGGGTTTAGGGGTTTAGGGTTTAGGTTTTAGGGGTTTAGGGTTTAGGGTTTAGGTTTTAGGGTTTAGGGTTTAGGGTTTAGGGTTCTGAATGTTCTTGGAGTTTACACGATTGCTATAACGATCCATGATCGCATTTGCGAATGATCACTAGAACGCAACAGTTATACCCCTTGCTTTTTGAACACTCTTGGGTGAATTTGCCCAAGGGAGCTGAGATCCCTTGATAGGTAATGACGTCAAGGTAGAGAGTTTGGGTCTATAAGCCATTATTATGTGTATTTGGGAGGTCCAGGTAGAATCGTACATCGTAAAACCCCGGACCCTGTGAGTGAGTTTGGCGCACACGAGAATTGGTCTTTGCAGGTGAAGGTGATGAAGCAGGAGTTCTGTGGTGGCCACCTGTCGCATACAAAGGCAGTTGAGGGTTTGGACTTGGTCTACGACACATCTGCTAGGCGCCTGTCACGCCATTCCGGAAAGATGTTGAGGGTGTACATGTCGTTCGCCTGGGTCCTCTCTGTTTCTTGGGGTCGGGCCACACCAACCACAGTGTCATGGCATTCCTTGGGCACCAGGCAGCATTGTAGGTTCAAAATTTCGGGTTTGGGCTTCATGCGTCAGAAAGAAACCACCTGTTAGAATATAGTAGTTTCCATTTTCTTTTCCATTATCCCAATCTCTCCCTATAATTCGATCTACTTAAGGGGGACTAAAATCGTGAGTGTTCTGTAGTCACGCGGAGGATTCAAGGGCTCGCATGCTGGTATTCTGTGGTCATGATTACAGCGCTGGTGTTTCCAAAAATTGAGGATTCCTTTTAGGGCGATCCTACACTAAGGATTGCCTAGCCCTAAATTCCAAGCCCTACACCTTAAACCCCAAAATTCCTAAGCCCTACACCCTTGATCTTAAGCCCTTTAAACCTTAAACCCCGAACCCTAAATCCTAGTTCGGGCTTGGGGTTTAGGGCTGGCAACGGGTAAGCTCAGGTCGTTTGGCGCTGGACCACTGGACACACATCCTGACGCTCCATGGCTCAAACAACGTCTTGAAAAACGGGGGGGGGGGAGGGGTGTACCTATAGTGTTAACTATACTTGTAGGAGTTTCTATTGGGGTCCACTTCTTTCCGCAAGCTGCCATATTGAACATTTTTTGTACCGCATCCAGATCTGCCATCCCATAGCCCCAAAGGTCTCCAAAATGAAGGCTTCATGCGGCAGAAGGCAGTACAAATGGGGTGGGTTTAGGGTGTAGTGTGCAGGGTCAGGGTTTGGGGACCATCAAGGTCTTGATGACTCTATGCTGGTATCTAAGTTTTACTACTATGGGCTATATTACCCAAAGAGGCCTAAATATCAATTTAGGGAAAATTTTGTCAGACCATTCGGGAAGTTCCTACAGGCACAATGCCCGTCAATTTTCTGTGTGCAATATCCTTATATACCCTTCGAAAAGACCGGGGGGTCCCATTTCATTTTCGCTTTTACCTCCCAGTGATTATTTGGTAGTTTCCCTAAACAGGGGACCCCTATATAGACCCCAAAATATTACAATCCTTATTATAGGGACTCTGAAAGTGTTACCCCTAATTTGGGAAAATACCATTTAGGCCCCTTCATTTGCCCTACACCCTAAACCCTAAACCCTTCATTTGCGCCTGTGCGTTCGTTCCTTCCTGAGGTGTGACCAATTAGACGCCCACGAAGCATATGTAGAACCCGTATACGGTAAGTAGGGATATAGGTGGACGTACATATGAGCTATAATCTAAACTCCTTAAAGGGGATTATATAGGGGATTATATATGGGACTAGTATAGAGGTTATTAAGCGGGAACTAGGAGTTTAGACTATAATTAGCTCGTATATACACAGACATGTACATATAAATACATGCCTATGGTGGGTGCTACAAGCTCTCAGTGGCCCGAACTCAGACCCTGGGGACTATTGTGCTACAGTGTTCTAAGGTCATGCAGGATGTTTACATGTAGTATCCACTGTTTTGCTGGCGCTTTGAAGAACGTCAAAATCGCATGGGCTAGAGCCTAGGTCTCCCAGGTCTTGTGGTTTGTTCTAGGTTAGGGTTTAAGGTTCTGGTAAGGCAGTTTAGCATACTACCAAAACAGGAACCACATAGGAGGCTCTCAAGGCTATAACCCCTACATCCGACATCCTAGACTGACTTTCACCCCAACGCCCGACATCCTATAACCAAACCCCTAAATCCCAACGCCTAGCCGCGAACGTCAGTTTCTGAGTATGATCTTGAGAGGCGACTGCTTATAATCTTCTTCTTGTTATTGTCTGCAGGCTTGCCGAAACGAAGGGCCCCAATATAGACCCCAAAACACCGAATTCGCTTCGGAAGGCTGACGTCCAAGCATCCCTAGATGCCCATCCTATGTGGGGGTTTCCCAAAATTAGGGGTACCATTTTGGGGGTCCCAATTATAAGGACTATAGTATATTGGGGTCTATATTGGGGTCCCCCTATTTTGGGAAACTACTATACGCCCCTGTATTTCAACTGTTCATCCTTTTCAAAGGTCCCCCCGTAATATCCCTCGAGTCCCTGAACCCTAAACCCAGAATCCCAAACCCTCCCTAAAGTCCCCACATCTCCTCTCAGGGAAGAGCGTCAGGATCGTTCACCAAGCAGCCGCCGTGGTTTCCCTGAAGTGGCAGGAGCCCTTGTACAGGTGATTAGGGTTTATGGTTTGGGGGTTTAGGGTTTGCGGGTTTCGGGTTTGGGGGTTCAGGGTTTAGGGATTTAGGGGTTGGGGGTTTAGGGTTTAGGGGTTTAAGGGTTTGGAGTTTAGGGTTTAGGGTTTAGCGTTGGGGGTTTAGGTTTGATAACATGCCTTGCATTGCCGTTAGTCCCTATGTAATCCGTATGCAGCCATAAGCTGATTTTCATGGCGCCCTCCAACCTAGTCTGCTTTACATGTCTTGGCAATGGATTGGTGATGTCAAGAATTGAATTACGGGGTTTCAGGTCATTGGTCCGGAATCTGGGGTGTGTGTCTAGGATTGACAGAGAGGGTTTAGGGGTGAAAAGTTCGTGATGTCAAGGTCTAGCTGACGGTTGATGGCTTTCTTTTGGAAAAGTAATACTTGAGGACGATGTTGGGATACAAGCTTTCGGGTAACCTTTTTTGTGAACACTGCGCTGCACGCTGATGTGATTTTGGTCTTGATAAATTGGGCTAGTTAAGGGGTGAGCATCTTTGCCATCCCCTAAACCCGTAAACCTAACCCCTAGACAGGCAGAACTGGAATGCCGGTCATTCAGTGACAGTCCATGTAAAGACTTCTCTCCTCACGTCCTACTTGTACCAGTGAATTCAGGTTGGGGACTGGTACCCACGGTGCGGAGTGCGGGGTTCGGGTTCAAGTACTGGTGCAGTATTGTTTTGTTGATGGTTGCTGCTTGCAGGGTCTGATGTACAAGTGAGAGAATTTTAGCGTCACTCCCACAGAGAGTTTGACTCACACTCCTGCAGCAAGTACGGCTAGTACAAGAAAATCAACTAAGATGGTTACCTCTTCAGGACCACGAGTACACATACTATTCTTCCGGTCATCATGCTTCCAAGTAGAGAGTGCGCCAAGTGCATCAGAAGAAGGACCGTCATTGGCTTGCGTAGGCTAACCTGCTTTGGGCAGATTTGAAAACAGCGATGACTGCCTTCGCCATCTTGAGGTCTGGACGAAGTTTTGTGGGTGCGTTTACTGTGATATTTCCTACAACAACTGAGCGCTTCTGAAAAGAGCCCTTGATTCCAATGTTGTTCTATCCCCGGAGAGGCTCAGCCATATTAGCCAATTCGCCCGCTTCAACAGCTGAGACGCAATATGCGATTAGCAAACTTGAAGCTTAAAACAGACGCCACTTTTGAAAAATCTGCGCAAACTCCCATGTGCCTGCTTTTGCGAGCATGCAAGCTTCTGGGCAAGGAGCAGCAGCACCACCAACCATGAACCCAGAGGAAACAGGCGTCCCAGGCCAGAGCTGTAGCTTGCGGGGTTGTTGGGCTTGTTCTTTGAACTCTTGGAATTTGGAACCCCAAACGCTAAATTCCCGCCCTAGTGAGGGCCGTGTCCTTGTTTGAGTCGCTTCTTGTTGGTATTCATTGTGTAGTTTTTCCCTTTCGTAGATTACTGGGTTTCTCTTGAATCTGAAGCCGCGAACGCTAGATCCCACCCCTCATGGGGGCCATGGCCTTGTTTGGGTGGGATTTTCGTTGCTATCCATTGTCTAAGCTTTTCTGTTCGTGGATTAGTGGGCTAGGAGTGAGAGTTTAGGAAGCACGCGTTTTGGTGCTTCGGCATGTATGCAAGCGGAGGCTGCAAAGCCCTGTTCAGCATCCCAGACAGTCAACTCCAGACAAGAGGTTGAGATGGGCAGAGCCCAGGTAGACCTGAGACCCCTAGATTATCCTCGCCTATATCTGCGTTCAGAGTCCCTATGCGTACCCTTATTTTGAGATGGCCACTGGCATAAAAGGAAAGCATACAAAGCGCAGCGTAATGATTAACATTTGGAACGGCAAAAAGGAGGCCTGGATACCAATGGTTATGGTCATAAAGGTTGCAGTGTCAAGAACTTGCCAACACCCAAAAACCCTTGTAGTGGGACTGTCTAGTTGTAGTTGTCGCGTTTGTACTTCGTATGCATCGGTATAATTGGTCAATGTCGTTCCCTGTTTACTGCAGCATGTCGGGTTTTGTTACAGTATGTGCAACATGCAGGAATAATGGGTAGTTCAAGGAGAACTCTGAAGAATATGCGGCTGCTAGGCGCAGCAGAAAACTCAGCAGGTCTGTATGCGGAAGCATCCCTCCCTACTTTCCATGATTCATTGTTGTATTAAGGACCTCTATACGAAGGTGAGGGCCTGGAGGGCCATACACAGTTATGGGGCTGGGCTCAGGCGGGCTGTGCGCACAAACGATGTTTGAAGGCCAAGTTGGAATGTGGCTTACATGCCTCAGGGTTCTTCACTTGCTGATGTTTTGGGTGCTTGCCAGTGCTCTTCACGTGCGAAAACTGCGCGCATATACGGGCCCCAGGGTACCTCAGCTGTCGTTGCCCCGGAGGCCCATTCTTGGGAAGGGCTTAGATGTTCGTCTAAGAAATCCTCTCATAGGAATGTTAAGCACCCTGTCTCACAATATTAGATGTGATTGTCCCAAAAGAGATTCTATATGCTGAGGGACACATTTAATGCTGGGGGCGGGTGGGTGCTTAATGAATATTAGCCCTGAGGCCTATACAGCCCCCAAACCCTACATAAAGTAGTCCTTTCTATTCTCCTGTCTATACCCCTATATACCCCGATATAAATGTCACGAAGCATAGACCCCACACCCTAGGCATACTTCTGCTTCTGCGAACCACCGCTGTTGCCGCAGGTTTGCCACTGTGACAGGTTTCACGAATTAATCGACACCTGGGCAAGTGGTCAGGCATGTTAGGGTTTAGAGTTTAGAGGCAGAGGGGTGTAGGGTTAGAGGTCTAGGGTTTAGGGTGAAGGGGTCGGAGGTCTAGCGGTAAGGCCCTCTGGTCTAAGGAATCTGGAACTATGACATTCGGAATTATCCTTGTAAATCCTCATATAGCGACAGTTTCCTTTTGGTTTTCCATGTTATTGACCATTGGATTCTCCATTGCGCCCTCCATGTAATTCTTAGAAGTGACCCCCATTATCTCCAATAAATGTCATTTCCCTGACGGCCAAACGGTTGTGTGCCAGATTTCAGGCAACCTTACATCTGTGAACTCTATCATCCCTGCACCATAGCTGGCTAGGGAAGACCTAAGTTACAACTAGGAAGTAGCCGGGAAATTCTCGCAGCTTTCATTATCGATGACACTCGAATTTTGTAGTATGCCTAAGCTCGAGGTAGTGCTGACTGGTCAGTGGCTTTGAAAGCCTCTTGCCGCGGTGTCCTTAGCATAGCACGGGGCTTGTGTATACCGTGTGGAGCGCGAAACCATGGACCGGCGTGGTCTCAAGAATTGTGAATGCTCCGAGGAGAAGATTTGGGGCAAGAGGGTTTCCCGGTTCCTGAAATGTACCTGTGCTTTCTGACCATCAGCGAGACATGCTACAGCGCGACGCGCAAGCGCAGGCGATTGACTCTACATCCACAGATTTGTAGCAGGAGGCTGTTTCGTCTGGTGGGTCAGGATACAAGATGATTTGGATTGTTTGCATTGCAAGCCCTTGATCGTGTTGATCTTTCCGGGTTTGGCTTTGTAGTCGTGCAAGCTTTTCCATGCTGAGCTTATAAAAATAAGATTTCGCTGCCTCAGCTAATGAGCTAATGACAATAAGCGACGTGCTGAAAACTTACTCATGCATTTCAGGTAACACTAGCTTCTGTGCGCGCACCAAGGATTGAGAGCCTTCGCGCTGAAGATATGGGCTCCGCTACTGTAAACATCAACCACCTTTCCTTGTACCAGCCGTTCTGTCAGTATGTCCATGAATGTCCATGCGTACATTGGCAAGTATTGAGCTTATATCCCCTGATGCATGCTAACAGCTTCATTTACTTGACCACTTCGGCCATGGCGCGCCATGCAGAGTCTGAAGGCGTGTTCTTACTTGCAATGTTGGCCCTTACTATATTACGCCTATTACGCAAATATGGCAACAAGTCCACATAGGGGCCCGTATCTTGATGGTTACCACTTGGACAAGAAGTCCTGGGCGCATTTGACTCCAGCATGTCACGAACCTCGCCATAATATGTCCGGTCGCGGTTTGGTTAGTCGCAGTACTTACGTGCCATCCCGCCTGTTAATAAGTACTTCCAACATCCCACAAAATGTCGAAAATCGTGCGCAGCTACAGTTTGGACAACACATTGCAACGTCTACTAGGGAGGGGCAAGGATAACGCATGATATGTCTCACAACGCCGCAGGAGCAAAAGGTGCTTTCGCAGCGGTGTCTTCTGAGGGCCATTCGGAATTCTAGCCTACACCCTAAACCCTAAACCCCTAAACCCTAAACCCTACTAGTGTTTCTTGCGCTTGTAGGTCTTCCTACCTTCCAGAAACCACAAGACGCATCTTGCTGGCCTTACCCCTGATTGGTAGATACGTAGGGCCCGTAGGGGTTCCCATATAAGTATATGGGGATTTCCCAAAATAGGGGTACCTTTTTGGGGGGTCCCTATAATAAAGATTATAGTATTTTGGGGTCTATATTGGGGTCCCCTGATTTTGGGAAACTACCATATACTTTGGGGAAGAGGTATGTGCTCTGGAGCTACATGAACCCTTTGGGTCTGCATTGGGGAGGTTTCGGGAATCACTTCGCTACTTGAGCTTCATTGGGTCGTTCGTTCTGCGGGGCGATAAGCAGGACACTGAAGGTAGCCGTTTGAACGATGATTGTTTAGATTTCCCCATACCCACTAATTGAACCTCCACGTAGGTTGTCTCGGCTTCCCTATCACGCCCACACAAGATGGTTGGTTTGCTATTGCCGGACTGAGCCTGGGGGAAGTAAGGCTTTGAGAGTTTGAGGTTGCGGGGGGTTGGCAAGCCCTCAGCCTGTTCCCCCAACCTTGAAACCTCTTAGGCTTGAACACTTTGCTTGAGTCCAAAATTATGGGAAGAAAAGGAAAAGTGGTAGAGTTTTTACAGCCTGTAAATTATAGCCAGCCCGCAGATACCCTTAACATAGCAGTTTCCATTTTCTTTCCCATATCCCCAGTATAATGCCAATGGCACCCCTATCCTACGCATAACCCTAAGTTACGAAGCCCTGACTGTGAGCCCAGAGTTCTGGACACAGTCTATGGGGTTGGGTCCAGGGTTTAGGGTTCAGGATCGGGTCCAGGGTCTATTTCCCTCGGTTTAGAGTTCAGGGTTGGGTCCAAGATCGATTTGCCTTGGTTTCGGGTTTAGGGTTGTGGGTCCAGAGTTTGTTTCGCTTTTCCAGCCGTGCCCCCTGGAAAACTATCTACATAGAGAGTCAGAGAATGGACCCCAATCGTAGTCTCGATATACCCCTTACAATTGGCCATTTGCTGCAAACCCAAAACCCCAAGTACCATTGCCCCTGCAGAAGCACCACAGAGCAAAACCAGTCCAGAGGGTCCAAGTGCTTAATTGTTGGGCTTATGGTCCAGGGTTTAGGTAAAACTCAGCCACAAAAGTACCTATATGTAAACCCCTTAGGCTTAAGGTATTTTGGTATTTGGACCCTTAGGGCAGTGTGCTGCTTAGGACGGCCGTGGGCTGGGATGATTCAGACGAGGAGCCTTCAGCCGGAGACCCATGCTAGGGTTGTAAGGTGTAGGGCCGCAGGGTCTTGCTTTCTACGGACCTGGGGTGTTAACCCCGGCAAGCCGGCAACAGCATGAGACTCAACACGAATCCTGTGCGCAGCCGTGAGATCTTTGAGAGAACCCATCCCCTGGCAATCTCTGCGTATTTACTCATGGCATCCTGACGAATACACAAGTTTCAGAAATCCTTGGAAGTCTAGCTTCTGAACCCCACAGCCTGAACGCAAAGACCTAAGCTGCTTTCGACAGGCACCTAGCACACAGCCCAGGTGTCATCTAGGCCCACCGTAATGTCGCGCTCGCCGTGCCGGAGAACAGATTCAGCTGCCTGGTAGCAGTTGCCAGAGTGAGAAGCGGCCCTCCTAGGGGGTGATATTGGGTTGCTGTTAAGGAACCTAAATTAAATTACCAAAATGGGTATATATAGTAAATCATAGGGTTTCCCCAATATAGTAATTTAATTTAAAGTTCCTTAACAGCAACCGAGATTAGGGAAGGCTCTGGCAGCGAAGTATCGCTCACAGGTTGCCAGTGTCCATAGAATCTGCGGAGTACTGCCTACATTTGAGAGAATTATAGTCTCCCTTAAGTAGATAGAATATGGGGCATATGGGGATCTTATTCTAATATACCCAAAGCCTCATTCTATCTACTTAAGGGGGATTATAAGCCACACCTGAATTTCACCCACCGGACCGGAGAAGCACAAACTAGCTGGGTGAGGGATCAAAGAATTACGTATTTGGTTTTGTTGGGCAGGTTTCTGTCTGCTGGGCTTCCGTTGTGATGGCCTGGGCTGCGCTGGCTCACTTCTGTTTTCCTACACGCGCCTCTTCGGCCTACTGTTACGAAGTACGCGCCTTTCTCTCATCCGTATAGACGCTCCGACTGCAAGCCGTAAACCTCCAAACCTGACGTGCTAAACTCCAACCCTGTTCAGACACCCTCCCCGCTTCAGGTGGGAAATCAGATCCTTTGCAAACAAGCAGGTTTGTGCAGCAGCGCCCAACGGCCTCACGACCCTAGCAAAACAGATTCTCAAAAAGCTCGGTAGTGTAAACTCTTATTTCGCTTCCGATGGCGAGGCCCGTAAACACTCAATATAGACCCCAATATATTATAATCCCTAATATGGGGACCCCCAATAAGGTACCCCTAATTTTGGGAACCATGATCAACCATGTGTAACTCCAGCTTGGGACTGTGAGGCTTACACGGACGAGGGCTCGGGGAAGGCTTTCGGCTAGCATCCCTTTGGTAGTTTCCCAAAATTAGGGGTACCTTTAAAGGGGTAATA